CACTCCCCCCACCAAGTCACCTGTCCATCTTCCCCGCCACACTCCTCAGACAGATGTTGGATCTCAGTATCCCCCCCCCGTTTCCCCGCACTCCCTTTCACCTGTCCGCACCAACCTACACTCCTCGGACAGATGCTGTGTCTCATTCACTTTTGAACACCCGACAGAAATACAATATGAGCCCCACATATGCAAGTTTTCATTTTCTAGTAGCTACATTTAAAAAGTAAAAGGAAAGTGCAAAATGGATTTTAACAATTTTCTGGAATCCAATACATCTATAATATTGTCTTTTCAACGCACAGAAGGTATTTTTAAAGTAGTAGTGAGACATCTTACTTTTTTCCTACACTAAGTGCTTGATATCCAGGGTGTTTTTTAAACTACAGCACAGCTCAGCTCAGGCCAGCCTTATTTCACACCCTCAATGGCCCCCTGTCCAGTGGCCTCTGGACTAGGCAGCGCACATCTGACGAATGTAAGACAGGAGCAGAGGGAGGATTAGCCAGGGGGTCAGACATCACCACCCCTGTCCAAGGCTCACCCACGGCCCATAACTAAGACCTGCAAATAACAATCATCTTCTGTTCAACAACCCTGCAATCCCACACACCCATTCTTTCAAAAGGGTAACAATTCATTTCATAAAGTGACTTTACTGCAACACCTGAAGCACCAGCATGGGCAGACACACACATCTTCTTGTAGGCCATATTCTACAACGCAGAAAGGCTGCCTGAAAAGTCACCTTTTTAAATGCTATCTAGCTGCCATCCCGGATTCGTTTTGTCTGTGGTCATTAAAAGAAGGGAGAGAGGAGGGGAGGGAAGACCAACCTGAGAAGAAGGAAAAAGAAGTGAGACGCCAGCCTGCAACATGCACAGCAGAGACCTCCCAAGTCCTGCCTGTGCCAGCTGCCGGCTGGGGCTCCCAGGCTAGATGTCCCCTCCCCCCGCGGTGCCTCACTTTCCCCATCTGCAAAATGGCAACAACCACAGAGCCCCACAGTAGGGCTGCTGTGGAAATTAAACGAGTTGACGCAGTCTAAGCATCTACATCAGTGTTGGCACGCAAGACTCACTTAATAAGAGATGCCTCTTAATAACAACAGGTTAAAAACTGATTGTCAGACTTTGCTAATACTCAGTACAAAAGCAACAGAATTAAAGCAAAAGATACAAATAAGAGCGAGCACAGTTCTAAACAAAAAAAAAAGGTCAAACAATGCTGGGCAATGTGCAAAAGTCCGCCAGGGTGAGGGCCCACGGGCAGGAAGGTGCTTCCCCTCCCCACTCTAACCCCTGGCTCAGAAAGGCAAAGACGCCCACTCTCCAGGGGGCGCCGCCCCTGCTGCACAGACATGCCTTCCCAGGCTGCGCCGGTGCCGCCCGGGACTTGCTCCCTTCTGTGTTTCTACACCCAGAGGGAGCTGCAAGCCCTGACAGCGGCGTGCAGGAGAGAGGAGAGCAGTGCTGTCAAGGTGCATGGGAGCCTGCGTGGCGTGACCCTCATTCCAAAGTGAGGACAGGGACAGGCCACCTCGGGCAGAGGCCCATGCTGAGCACGCAGGCTTGCTTAGCCTCTCTCTGGTCCAGCAGGGCTGCAGGAGACGCCAGCACTTCACAGGGCGCACGCTGGAGGCGGCGAGCCAACGACTCTGCCACTGCGGCAGCCGTGAAGGGAACTCCTACCAGCGCCCAAGCAGGCAGCGGCAAGCAATCCAGAGCCTGTGTTTGCTGACAGCCCTGGTCCGGGACAAACCTGTCCTCAGCCACACACAAGAGAAAAGAAAAGGCAGGGCCTAGAAAAAAGGTATCTGGCAAGGGACAGGAAGTGTCAGAAGGAAGCTGAAAAGTCAAAAGCCGTCTTCTGAAAACAATTCCCTGTGGGCATTCATGGTGGAAATATCCATAAGGCACCTGGCATACTCAAAAGGCAATCAGCCATATTTCCTAAGAAATAAGAACAGAAAGCCATAGGGAGAGATGCCATGAAATAAGAGAAATGGGTGAGATAAGAAATGACTGCAAGGAAATTTTCATGTGTAATAGCAGAAATAAAATCCGTATGGAGTCAGTAAAAAATTGAATTGATTATTCAGAAAATGGCCTTAATGCTGAGGATGAATTTGAAAAGTACTCTAAGAATCTGAAGATAAAGAACAAAAATAAAATCCGATAAAATCTTTAAAAATCAAGAATTCTATTTTCTAAGAAAAACTCAAAGCCAACAGGAGCAGAAATCAAATATATAATTAAAGAATGTGCTTTTGAACTGAATAAAGATTTTCCAAGTTTGACCAAAATAGTTTATTATGTTCTACACAAAATCAATGAACAAAGATATATCTAGTGTGCATTTTGGCCACTTTTTTTGAAGTACAAGAACTAAAAGACAAACTAGAAGAACATAGGATAAAAACAGAAATTACTTTTAACGGAAGCAAGATCAGGTTAGCTTCGAATTTACCTATAATACCACATTTTAGAAGACAATAACAAAATGCTGTCAGACATTTTGTCTGATGTGAAGAAAAATGGTTCTGTAACATGTTTAATGGCAACAGAAACTCATTCTCAGAAATGCTGGGTCTCAGAAAATATAACTCAGAAGTTTCTTTCTTGATGACAGAAGAAAAAATTATCTAAAGTGGTAATTCAGTTGAAAAGGAGGAATCAAAATTAAAATATTCAAGGAATTTGTGGTATATGGCAAAGACTTAAATTTCATATCCTAAGTATCCCCCACAAAAACCCACATTCACTACCACCACTAACTACCACTAACACTAACCTCTGAATCTTAATTTCATTGCTCATAACATTAACATAATATTAATACCCACCTTACAGTTTTGCAACTGTAAAACAACAGCATCATAAAGAGATGTGAAAAATAGTATTAAAACATAAGAAATACATATGGTCCCTGACTTGTGATGCTGCAGCTTACGACATTTTCAAGCGACAGTGGGTTTGGTTTGTCTGAATGTAACCCTATTATAAGTCAAGGATCATCCGTACTTAATTCACCTGACAGAGGCATCAACAATGTCTGTCACAATGTCTCATCACTGTCTCATCACAATGGCCCCAAATGCACACAGGACAAATACTTGGGACAGCATGTCCTGTGGAGACCCATAAATCAGTCTCTATGTGACCCTTAAACTACTAAACTCTAGACTTAGCTACAGAAGAGTATGCATCTGAGTGTTCTACAGAAAGCTTCAAATCTCCCCTCTTCTTTTAATACTTATGAGGGCAGAAAAAATAGTAGGAATATCCTAGAAGTCTGGTGTAACTTAGGAAAATTAATAGAATAATTTTAACATTTGCCTAAGAGAATAAAGGAGATGGCTTGAGAAATAAAAACGGAGTGAAAGTCTAGGGTATCTTAGTGAAAGGTTTCAAAAGCAGGTAAGGATTCTGAAACATTCTGCTAAAGAAACCTTTAGCAAGACAGTCCATATTGTATGTGCCCACATAAAATTTTGCAACAGACAAAATCAATGTAGGATAAAAAACCTCAAAACAGTGGTTCTCCGAGGGAACAGAGTGGACATGTGGACTGAGAAGAGGATGAGGAAAGTATCTAGGTGGCCACAAGTTCCATCATCTTTTTTTTTTTTTGAGTCAGAGTCTCACTCTGTCACCCAGGCTGTGGCACAATCACGGCTCACTGCAGCCTCCAACTCCTGGGCTCAAGTGGTCCTCCCACCTCCCAAGTAGCTGGGACTACAGGTGTATACCATCACAACCAGCTAATTTTTTTTTCATATGTTACCTAGGCTGGTCTCAATTTCTGGACTCAAGCAATCGTCCTGCTCTGACCTCCCAAGGTGCTGGGATTACATGTGTGAGCCACCAAGCCAGGTCAGGCTCAGTATAGGGTTTTGGGTTATACAGAAACACACACTTTTCTAAACTCACAGACTGTACACTTAAGATTTCTGAATTTCATCAAATATAAATTGTATATCAAAAGAAAAACTATATATGCATTTAATACTAGTTAATGATTTGCATGCTAAAAT